GATTGATTGGTGCTACCTGCATTCTCGCAAGTGAGACCAAGACAGCCACAGAGGGCAATGCTTTACCACAGTCCCTGGCGGAAACCTGCATGCCACGGACAGAATCGTTTGTTTATATTAGCTATGAAAATGCAGAGACTCAGTTATATTAGGAGGTGATATGGCACTTTCTGTGCAATGACAGACAGACAGATTTGCCCACATTAGGTGATTAATAATCAGCTATCCATCCATTAACTCAAAATATATTTACTGAATACTTACTAGGTACCAGACATCATCCTAGATACTGAGGTACGGTGGTAAATAAGAAACAAAGACCCCTTTCTCACGAGAGCCACATTTTAAAGCAGAAAGACAGATAACAAACAGAAAAATAAATCAAAACTAACAAGAAAAGACCAGTGATAAATCTAAGGAGGAAAAACAACACTGTAGGTGTTGTGATAGCTACAGGGTGGGCAGGCTCAGCCTTTTGGAGGTGCTGACATTAAAGCTAAAACTTGAACGACAAGAAGGGACCTGCAGCAAGGGTCTGGGGGGAGAATGTTCCTTGAGGAAAAGGAGCCCAGTACCCCTGCAGCTCATGAAGGTCCCAAGGAGCAGAAGGAGTTGGAAAGGGGACCAGCCACCAGGTCATCAGGCAGGATGACGACAAAAAATAAGTAAAATAAAATAGCATTTAAAATGGAGTAGACTGTGAAATAGAAAGGATATTGAAGTCAGATGATATAAAATATAAAATGGACACTTTGGAAAAATTCAGTTTAGAAAATGGCTTTTCTCTGGGTCTTAACTAGTGTTTGGAACTATCTGTCTCTGATGGGGCCGATCTGCAACACCATTTTTTTGTTTGTCTCGAAGTGAAGAATGGGGCACTGTTAGCTCTTCCAAGTATCTGATATCCCTCTATAATATCTATAACTTAACCACTTTTCTTGGTTACCAACATAATGCATGTTTATGATGGAACATCTGGAAAATACAGATAAACTAAGAGACGAAATAAAATATTCCAAATCCAGCCATCCAAGAATACTAGTGTTAACATTTAAAGAGTATATACTCTTTACACTTATATACTGCAGCGATTCAGAATATGGGCTCCGAACTCTGGGTGAAACTCATGACTTTGTCGCTGGCTAAAGGAGGGAGGTTCACTTTTCAATCTATCTTAATTGCCTATAAAGTGACACATAACTGTCTGCAATCTCTCTAAGCCTCAGTTTTCTCATCTGCAAAACGAGAACAGCAGCATTACCTTCGTCATAGGACTGCTGTGAGGGTTAAACGGGAAGCCCTGTAATGTCCCCGACTTGGCGCCTGGAACAGCACGTACTTGAACATGTTAGATGTTATGTTATTATTGTTTTACAAAGTTGGGAGTGTATGGCAGAACTGTCATATAAATGATTGTTCCAATTATCCCTAGACATTGTTACATGATCTTGAATAGTTTTCATAATGTAGTTTTAATGGTTACATAGCATTTTACCATAGAGATATAATTTAGTTAATTCTCTAACATAAGATACTTAAGCTGTTTGTAATTTTTTACCATTTAAAGCAGTTCTATAGATAAAATACCGCAAACGTTCTTTACTATTTCTCTAGGGTAAAATCTAAGAAATGGCTGGGTCAAGGGCATGTATATTTCCAAGATTTGGATGCATTTTATGATATGGTCTTTGAATTTAGATCATACCCTGGATAAGAATAATAGCAGGAAGTAAATGGTCCACATTTGTGTGTGGCATGTGGTCTGATTTACCATTAGCTTAGTGAAACACTCCCTGCCCCCCACCTTTTTTTTCTCCACACCCGTTCCCACCTTCTGGTCAGCATCATCCTCCCTCGTTCCTTAGGGAAGCTCTCAATTCCAGGCTTCCAGCCAAGCCAATTTGTTTACAATGTTCTTATTTGCTGGGAATTCTGTACTTACTATTCATAGGTTTTAGTATATTAGAAATCCAATTCTTCATCTTACAGATGAGGAAACTAACGCAGAGGGAGCAAGTGGTCTGTGCGAGGTGGTCATCTGGTCTATGCTACTGTTCGATGGCTAATGAAGTCCGGCCCGTTGTCTCTAGGACCTCTTTCAGCAGTCGGCCCGTGGACAGTCAGCCATCCTTGTTGAATGGGTGACTACTTGAAGTAACTTTCAGTCTCCTAGGATTTTGTAGCTGGATAGGACCACGCAAGTGTGGAAACGGAGGCCTATATTGTTGATGAAATTAAGCTATTAGAGAGAAGTTGAAACAACTACTAGGAGAAGCCAGGAGAAGACAAGTGTTCGAGGGGTGAGGTGGGCATCACAGAGAAGGGATTCAACTCATGCTGCCCTGTTCCGGAGAGAGCAAAGCCAAGACTAACAAGACTGGAAGTTGCTGGGAGGCCAATTTCAGCATAATACAGGGTAGAGATTTTTAACAGCTAGGACTGCCCAAAACTGAAATAGGTTTTCTTGAAAAGAAGTGAGGTGCCCCTAACTAGAAGTGTTCAAGTAGAAACAGGGTATGTTTGAATAAATAATTTGGCCCAAGTATGCTTGAACAGGGGGAAAAAAAAAGTTTTGTGAGCTTGGTTGGAATAAATAACTTTAAGGTCTCTACCAACACTATGATGAAATGATTTTGTGAATATATATATCTATTTCTATATATCACACACATACATGTACAGATGGATAACTTTTGTCTTGTTGATATGTTACTTGAAATTTAGTCTTTTGAGTGTGAATCCGTTGTGTTTCTCATTTGAAATGAGACCAGATAAATTCTGTCTTTACTGACCCAAGATTCTCTGGTTTTAAATAATCTTCTTTTTACTGCTAATCCAGTGTACTACACACAGTAGGAGTTCAAAAGATAAATTTAAATTAGCTCTTAAGTCTGGAAAAAAAATCGACATTTAAGATATACTGAGCTGTAGGCTCCATGCAGTGGACAATGTGGTCTTAGCTAGTCTCAAATAAATCAGTTCATCACAATCAAGAGCTCTATATATGCATTAATTTTTTTAAACAATTTTTTTCTTTACTGATTTGAGAGAGAGAAGAAGTGAGAGGGAGAGAGAGAGATAGAAACATTGATGAGAGAGAACATGGACTGGCCGCCTCCTGCACGCCCCCTACTGGGGATTGGGACCACAACCTGGGCATGTGCCCTGACGGGGAATTGAACTGGTGACCTCTTGGTGCATGGGTCAACACTCAACCACTGAGCCACACTGGCTGGGCTATGCATTACATTTTTTTAAGATAAAAAATGTTAATATTTTAAAAAAAGAAATTTGGTGAGATTATATTGTGATGAGATAAAAAGTGTACTCATATTGGGTTTCTGAATGATGATACAAAATTATAGCTGGAATTATTTCCTAGAATATAAAGAATATTTTTACTATTAAACTGGAAATGTGATTTAATTGCACTTCAAGTATGGAGTTACTGAAAGACTGCTCACAGCATAATAATTTCATCCTAATTCTAGTGGTAAGACAGCCACATAAATGAATCATATTACAGGAACACTTTGATTTTTAAGATTTCTTATCAGTAACAGACATGTAGATCCTGGCAAGTTCCTACTTGGGTTTGGTGGAAAGCTGCACTCTCAAGTAGCAATCTACACAGTGCTGATGGGTGTCACAGGTGGCATCTGTGAGGCACTCTTCGTGCTTCTGACCAGGGAGAAAGTGGACAAAAAACAGCAAAGATTGTGCTTTTAGGCTTTCCTTCCTGTTTCCTTCCTTCCTTCCTTCCTTCCTTCCTTCCTTCCTTCCTTCCTTCCTTCCTTCCTTCCTTCCCTCCCTCCCTCCCTCCCTCCCTCCCTCCCTCCCTCCTCTCTTTCTTTCTTTCTTTCTTTCTTTCTTTCTTTCTTTCTTTCTTTCTTTCTTTCTTTCTTTCTCTTTAGAAGGCTAAATAAGAAAATTAATGTTCAAGTTAAGTACCTCATTTGACTTATCAACATTGTCATTGGGATACTCTTTTATTTTTATTTTATAAATATTTTTTTTTACTTTTCAATTATAGTTGACATTCAATATTATATTAGTTTCAGGTGTACAGCATAGTGGTTAAACATTTATACAACTTATGAGGTGATCTGCCCAATATTTCAAGTACCCACTTGACACCATACATAGTTATTACAATATTATTGACTACATTCCCCATGATGCACTTTATATCCTTGTGATTATTTTGTAACTACCAATTTGTACTTCTTAATCCCTTCACCTTTTTACCTATCCCTCCAACCCCCCTCCCACCTCTCAACCATCAGTTTGTTCTTTGTATATGTGAGTTTGTTTCTGTTTGTTCATTAATTTTGTTTTTTAGATTCAAAAAGATATGTGCACCTCTATGTTCAATGCAGCATTATTTACAATAGCCAAGATATAAAAGCAACCTAAGTGTCCATCAATAGACAACTGGATAAAGAAGATGGGGTATGTATATACAATAGAATATTAATTGGCCATAAAATATAAAATCTTACCATTTGTTTTGGATACTCTTAACAGTAAAAAATTATGGCTTGAGTCTAGATAGGCCCTTCATTGGCTGGACTATGTCAGCCATGCCTTTAGTTAGGGAAATGTATAATATTTCTAGGACAGTGAGACCGTCTATGTTTCAGACATTGTGTAGATGCTAGAGAGATAAAAACATCAGACATAAATTTTGGCCTCAGAGAGGCACAGAAAATGCATACATAGATTCACCATAGAGTGCAGATGAGGCTCGGAGTTCTCTCTGACCCAGGACTCTAGTTCCTGCTAATCTATCACCGAACTGGCGTAAGAGGTGACATCTATCAGTCACTCCTGGTAGGAAGTCAAAAGTTCTCTGGTACCAGATCTCATTTGAACAATCATAATCATGGTTATTTCATGTCTATATAGTAGGACCCATTTCATGTGTATGCTGCTAAAGTTTGATTGTCTGAATTCCACTCTTCAGAAACATGAAACAAAAACAATGTTATAACAGTTACCTCCACTGCTGCTTTCGCCCTTTCAAACTCCTCTTCTAAAGAGTGGTTTCTGGAGAGTAATGCACTTCCCCAGCGCTGTTCTTTGGTCAGCCGAGCCTGAAATAACCCAAACACATGGTATTATAACACTGGAATCCCACAACACGTAAGTACGGTTTTTCCTTTTCCCACATTCCCCTAGAGTTTAAGCAGCACCTGCAACTGATGTCACTTTTGGAGTACTTTGTGAGCACGAGGTTGCCCAGACTGGTGCCAAAATGTGTGTGAACACGCATGCGCGATTCTTCTAACAGATCTCCGGCCCGGTCATGTTCAAACCAATGCCCATCCCAACTTCCCAAAGGTCTTACTTTAATTGGTCTTGGAGCCAGGCGTTAATATTTCAGTAAGTCTCCCATATGAGTCTAACATGCAGCTAGAATGGAGGATCACCCCTGGAGGACTAGACCCAAAAGCGGGTATTCAAGCTTCCAGCTCGTTAGAAGGACCAGCCTCATGTAAAACTGTGGAAGCTGCAGAGTTGAAAGGTGGCAGTGAGGTCTTTCCCTTTAAATATGCAGCAGGTCCTCACGCTGGATTCTCTTTGCTCTGCCTTCCCTCTGTTGGCATGCATCCGTCTTGTGTCCCATTTCCTTAGGACGTTGCTCTCTATTCAATAAGTCACTTAGATAAAATCACGTCTCATTACGCCATCTGCTTTGTCACAATGAATAGGCAATGTGATACATGGCTTAGCTAAATGCAAATGTTTCCAGAAGACCCCTCCAAAGAGTCTGCTGGAATTTTTAAAAATGTTATTAATTTTTAATTTGACAAACAGTAAATACTTTCTTTTTGAAAAAAATCAATTATGGAAAATAACAGGTGCACTTCTAGACTATTTTCTTTGCAGTAACATATATATTTATGCACCCATAGACAGAATATCATAATGTGTTTCACAACTTTTTTTGAAACATAAACGACATGCTACTCTGTAGCTTACTTTTTTCTACTCAACAATATATGTTGGAGAGTCTCCACAATTAGTACTTGTACATGTACTCCACTCTTCCTGGGCATTTCCTGTAAGTACTGTGTACTCTAGTTTGTTCAGAACCCTCTCCGTGAGCATGCAGGATGTTTCCAAATTTCCTCCGTGCATTTGCGTGTTTTCCTGTCTATCTTCCGACCCTACTGTGGGATCCATGCAGGTGAGATTTCGTCTGGTGACTTTTGCACTGCCCGGACCGAGCCAAGGGGCTGACAAGTGATTCGTGCCCCGAGGATGTGGATGGATAGACTGTAGGGTGAGGGACTGTGCTGATAAGGCAGCTAGGCTTTGGGGAATAGGAGATAGGCTTGTGGCAGGAAATGCCCTGCCCGCCACCTTTTTTGGGGGTAGGGGATGTCTCCCTGGCCCATGTGTTAGATTGCTCTCTTGCAGGAATGCTCAACCCTGGTTTCTGTGGGAATTACTGGAAAAGGCCTGGGTCCCATCCTAGACCAATGAAATAAGAATCTCTGGGGCTAGGGCCTGGGCATTAAATGTTTGAGAGCCCCTCTGGTGGTTTTGAAAAGCAGTCATGTTTAAAAAACCACTGTTCTATAGCAAAACCGTACTCTTCACTCAGCACTTTTCACTTATAAAGCTCAGCTGCTTTTCATTCTTTCTCCACCATCACTGGTCCTGAAGAGGACGCCCCTTTTATTATTACACAGCAGTAACACTACATGTCAGACGCTGCTCCAAGTCCTTTAGACACTATAACTCATCTTGTCTTTTCAACAACCTGTCACGTAGGCATTATCGTCACCTCCATGACACTGAGGCACAGAGAGCTTAAGTGACTTGCCCACCGTCTCACGGCTGCTAAGCGGTGGGCCGGTGCTGCGGGCCGTGCCCAGGACTGCTGCCCTGTACCGCCTCTCGCGCCAAGTTGTGCTCCACTGGCTGTTCTAGGAGGATGCCGAATATAGAAAAGCTGTCCCTCAGAGGTGCATGCTTGGTCGAGGGAGTGAACCAAGAACCCCCCTAAGAACCGTGCGGGCTAAAAACAATAATGAAGTAATTATTCTAAACACTTCTGAGCATCAACAGCGGTATTTTGCTTTAATGAAGGTGGACGGTTTCTTTACTGAAACATTCTGTTTTCTCCTCCTTGATGTATTTACTGCTCTGTCCCTTGAGAATAGTAGGTGCTTCATCAATAGTAAATATTTGTTAAAAATATGCTGTCATCGAACAGATGAATGAATGAATTAAAGGTATTTCTCTCCCCATCTTCCAAGAGGTAACCATGTGTTCTCAGTCAAGGTTTCCTGGCCAATCGGGAGGCTAAAGAGAGGGTATAGGAGTTGGAGAGGGGACTTCTTTCTTGTCCTGTGCCTGGAGTGGCAGAGGTCTGTGTTAGCCAAGTCCTGGTTTTGGGGTGGGAGCGATGGCAGGCTGGCCTGGTAAGGGTCTAGTGAGGAGCAAGGCCTGGAACAGCTTGGGGTGCGGGCTCTGGGGCGACGCCTGTGGTGAGAATAGAAAGGGCGATGAGGGCAGTGGGGGCCTGTGGAGACATCAGCGCCTTGCTCTGGGCCAGGTCCAATGGGCCTGTGGAAGCTACCACCTGCTCCTAAACCAGACAATCCAGGCAGGGAGGGAAAATACACGTGAAATGAACCACCACAGGCGCTGGGGATTAGGCACAGCCATATCTTTTTTGCCGGCTGAATTTCCATTCAGCCCATTACAACCCTTGTCTGACACTCTTGGGTCACAATATTTGATGAACAAATAGAAAGGTGCAGATGGTTTACGACCTTTTGAGATCTGTAAATTGTTAGGATGCTACAGCCTGGGAGAAAAATTTACCCCGAAGGTGATATGGTATTTTTTGTCTTGTAGAATGTTGAACAGTCCTGTTTCTATCTTGGCAGACTTATTCTGGCATTTCTTTCCCAACTGGTTCTAGAAGTCTCCGTCCCCTAATCCTTTGCTTTAGGAACCAACTCTCTTGTCTTCCTGCTGGTTCCCTCATCGATGAAATAAACAAACAAGTGAATTCCAAACTGTGGCTACACGGTAAGACATGAACTTTGTGCATTTCTATAATGATGTCATGAATGAGTTATGAGTGGCATTAGGAGAAGGAAAAGAAAGCACCCAGGTTTTTGTCCCAAGCCACCTCCTTTTATTAGGGTTGCTGTTCACTGGTGAAACATGATCTGTCTTCCCTGTGAGCCTGACCTAACAGGGCTTCGTCACTGTCACCAGCCTCCCTTCATCAATGTTTTATGACCCAAGTGGATTATGAATCACAGGACGCAAAGGGTGCCATATACCAGGGAGGAGAGGAAAAATCTCTCTCCCAGGATTCTAGACTTACAGTCCATAGTCTCTTTACCACTTAAATCAGCAAGTATAAATCATATCTTACTGTGCAAGTGGAATTTTGTTTTGCTAGTACAATGGCTATTTAGGTAAGTGCTATTTTCCACATTATTAGAAAGGCTTTAGAGTATTAGTAAACAAATGCCATCCACCTCAGATTGTAGAGCCATATATTTTGCCCACAGAAGCATGAGATAAACATTATAAGATATAGGTAAATACTGAATGCAAACACAGGCAGTTTTCAAGCTGAGATTAGTATGCAACTAAAGATCACAGGCAAACGTGTGACATGGGAAAACATATGTGAGTAATGCTGGGAACCGCAGATACCACTTCAGCATTTACTGAGAGGAATGTAAAGTGAGGCTAGGACACCCCTGAGTGTGAGTTGTAGCTGTTTTGGTAGCACAGTAGATCTCTGCACCAGTAGTTCTCAGACTACAGTGGGCATCAGGATCACTTGGAGGTCTGGCTCAAATGCAGATTGCTGGGCCCTGCCCCTAGGGTTTCTGATTTAGTAGGTGGGGTGAAGGCCCAGAATCTGTGTTTTTTTTTTTTTTTTTTTTTTTTTTTTTTTTTTGTTTTATCCTCACCCGAGGATATTTTTCCATTTTTTGTACAGATAGAGTGGGAGGGAGAGAGAGGAAGGGAGAGACAGACAGAAACATCGACGTGAAGGGACACATCGAGTGGCTGCCACCCGCACGACCAACCAGGGCCAGGGACAAACTGCAACCGAAGTACGTGCCCTTAGCGGGAACCGAACCCGGGTCTCTCTGTACCGCAGGCCGACGCTCCAACCGCTGAGCCAAACTGGCCAGGGCAGAATCTGTGTTTTTGACAAGTTCCCAGGTGATATTGAGCAGGCTGGCGTAGGGAGTACACTATGAGAACTTCCGGTCTAGATACTGACATTATGTACATGTAGGTGAACTCTGTAGTTCACAAATGTACTCTGACATTTCTTTTCTTCTCTGCATGATTTTGAAAAAATGCTCCATGGTTACAGCAACCTCCTGGAAGCACCTTGGCTCTAAAAACAGCATTTTAATTGGTTTAAGCTAATTGGATTTTAGGGTATTGCACTCTCCAAGGAAAAAGGTATTTAGTTTCTTTAGCTGTTGGTTGCTCTGAATAAGCACGAGGTGAAGGAAAAGAAGAAAGAAATTAATAACCCTTCGAAAAGAATATTGTTTTATTTTCCTTATTCAAAATTATGATTATGATCAAAATTATGATTTGAACAGGACTGTATTTGTATCTGTGTTTGTCTTAGCATAACTTTGTTGGCTGATCTCAATGCAAGTTATTCATAGCTTCTCAGATATTGCCTCTGTCATTGTCAAAGATCTACCACCAAAACACATTTTAAAAGAGCTCCTTATCTTCTCAAGGGTAAAGGAAAGGAAAAAGGGATCTGCTTAACTGTAGAAGAAAAAAAATGTAACAATTAGCTGACTATGGATGACAATGTAGCATAGGCGTGAAAACCATAATCTCTGGAGTCAGACCGCCTTGAGCCAAATCCATGGACCACGAACTGGTGGCCTTGGACACATTACTTAATCTCTAGCATCCTCAGTATGCTCATCTGCCATGTGTATTCACTTATAAAATCCATATAAGAACTGAGTACAATAATTCATGTAAATACACACAAAAAAGGCTCCGTACATAGTAAGTGCTCAATAAAACTTGGCTTTTCTTATCATCTTCCTGGTCAGTACTTACCAAGTGTGACTTTAGAAATACATTAATCATATCTGTGCTTAGAGCACTTTTTTTCAGGGGTTAAAGGAGACTAATTGGATTTTTACATTAGAACAGCTAATTTAAACATTTACTTCACTGAGATGCTCAGATTTATTTTTCTTAATCAGCCAGCAGACATTTATCTTTGAAGGCATACAAAAGAAGCTCCACCTTACATGGAAAGAGCAAATTCTCAGAGCTTTGTGCAAGGAGGGAGCTACAGTTCCCATCTCCCTGAAACTATAAAGGTCTGCATTGTAGAACGTCAAGGCAAACCAGTGCCGATTTCAAAGAGATGGACAGTCTGTTACCATGGATAACTGAAAAGCACTTCTAAAACTAGCTTCAAAATGATCAAGAATTAAAATGTATCTTTCTGTTTCTCTACCCTTGAACCTTTAGCCACTACTTATAAATTATCACATTTGACAAGCATTTGTTGTTTCTTCTTTTTGTTAGCATTCTCTTGTTTGTTTTTTTTTTTTTTTTTTACTTCAGTAAGTATTGGTTTAGTACCTACTGTGTGCAGATTTCCTCTGGGGCTGAACATTTTCCAGTTTTCTTCCCTTCCTCCTTGCCTTGCTCCCCTGCCTTTCCTTTCTCATTTCCTCCCTCCCATCGCTGCTTGCTTCCCTCCTCGCGGGTAGCTCACTGTGTACGTCCAGGAGGGGCAGGGACTGTGCGTATGCTCTTGTACTGTCTTCCAATGAGCAAAACTATATATACAGTGGCTATCTAACTGTTTCTATTAGACATAAAGCTCTTGATGTTTCTTACAGTCAAATCCTTCTTTCTAACTTTTCACTGCCTCGCTATGGCTTTATGAATAGTAGACATTCAGTCTCTTGTTGAATTGGAATGGAATAAAAGGGAAGCCATCAACATTTCTAAGGGTAGGAGTTTGGGAATAGATTGGGCAGGGGGAGGCACAAAATTGCGTTTAGCTTCAGATCAGATGACAATCCTAACTTATCTTTAAAAATTTCTGGAAGAAAGTGATAAAGATTCTTTAAAATCACTTAACTCACATTAACCCTACAAACATAAACATCAGGCTCACAGATGGTTTGGCGCTCTCTCGGGTGGGTCAGTGTGAGGTGGCTGATTCGAGGTGCTGTGTGGTTACGACCAAGGGCTTTAGAAGTTGCTGGGTGTGAACTGTGTGGGCTCCTCGCCTCCTTGGCTGTGTCACCTTGGGACCTTTACTCTGCTCTCCAAGATGCATTTCTCATCTGAGAGATGGGGATATTAATTCCCAAGCTTACTGTAAGCATTTCAAAGACTATATTAGAAGTGTTTCACATTATGCACAGGAAGTATGTAATATGACAGCTGTTAAATCCATTTCCTTTTGCATCATTCCTTTAAAAATTCAGACACCATATCTGCACTTGCATCTTAAATTTCATATTGTTCTATTTTGGGACACTGCCAACTGGATAGAATTATAACTATGTGGAAGGAATCATTTGCTGTGTCAAAATCAGCAAAATCAGATTATTACAAGATTGTGACTAAGTATTAGAGAGCCTGGCTGCCCTGCATTCTCGTGAAGTCCAACTTAGGTTGGCAGGAGCCTGTCTTAGAGCTCTCCTTCCCGGGCCCAGACCTGACAGAGAGGTGCTCCTTCCCGGGTCCAGACCCGACAGAGACACGCTCCTTCCCGGGCCCAGACCCGACAGAGACGCGCTCCTTCCCGGGCCCAGGCCCGACAGAGACGCGCTCCTTCCCGGGCCCAGGCCCGACAGAGACGCGCTCCTTCCCGGGCCCAGACCTGACAGAGATGTGCTCCTTCCCGGGCCCAGACCTGACAGAGACGTGCTCCTTCCCGGGCCCAGACCTGACAGAGACGTGCTCCTTCCCGGACCCAGACCCGACAGAGATGTGCTCCTTCCCGGGTCCAGACCTGACAGAGACACGCTCCTTCCCGGGCCCAGACCCGACAGAGACATGCTTGAGCCATCACTTCCCAGCAGAAGTAGGATTCTTTTTCTTTTGCCTCATCACTGTCTCAACCCAATTATGGAAAAAGCTAATTTTACACCATTACTTTCTGTGTTTTTCTTCAATTCTTCAAATGTTTTCTAATTTTTCAGGCTGCATGATTTCTTTAAACATTTAACTCCAGGGAATACTAATTACACAGTTTTATTCTTAAATATATTTATTATAGTAAATTATATAATCTCTTGCTACTCTGAGGAGTGTATTCAAAACACTATTTGGAAGAGACTAGACTATGTCTTTCCTTTTCCCCATCCTGATGAGAAAATGAGAACATAAGAATTCTTCTCATTGTGAACTTTCATGTTTTAAATTTTGAAATATGATTTTTAAACAAGGCTTGCAAACAGCTCCTCATCTGTGGAGCCTATGATAATTTATGTTGGCCTGAGAGAGAAGAAAACACCCCCTTGTTTTCCTGTGCACCACCTGAGTGACTGTGAAACAGCGGTCAGTTCTGCTGTGCTGAAATTGTTTACCTGAATAGTTTGCAAGTCAGTTTAAGTTGAGTTTTTATACTACCATCATCATTTATCTATGTATGAAGATCATACGTTTAAGAGCAGTGTGCTTCTAACAGTAAAAACACCTTTTTGTCTTCTATTAAAGTAGATCAATCAGTCGATCCTTTTGCTGCTCCATTTGAACAACTTAGTATTTCAGATGATCAAGTCTCAGTTGCATGAAATTTTCCTAATTTAACCATAGGATGGAATTAGAACAAAAAGCTAATACATTTCCTTAGTTTAGAAAAATCTTGGTAAGTAGACACACAGTGTTTTAAACAAAAAACAAAAAACAAATGAAGGGATACATTCTTTATAAGTAATTGGTAACCCTCTAAAAGGATTCACTGCGATTCATCCAGACAGAGAGCTGTCACAGTGCATTTTATATTGTTTTGGAGGACAATATCGGGAATCTCATACAAATTTTCCAGAGCACATTGTGTTTGCTTAAAGGCGCACGGTGGGTCAGTGGTAGGACAGCGTGGTGGGATGAAATCAGACAACCAGCGGGAGGGCAGCAGTCATCAGGACAGTAAGACACATGCATTGTGGGTCTCCATGGGCAACCAGGGCCTCGCTGATCTTCCCCACCTCCAGCTCCTTGTGGAGCAGCATCCTGTGTCAAGTCTCCCCCCACCGCTGCCGAAACAAACGTTCTAGTATGACATTCAATTGTTCCAAAGATTCCAGTTCACAAAACAGGACCAATTACTTGAGTCAAGTCTAAATTTCTAATGCATTTATCAAGAAATGTTTCTTTAATAAATGTTATCCACTTGCTTTATAAAAAGAGACATTTAGAATGAACACAGAGGAAGAAAATAGATTTTCGTGCTACATTCACAATTCATTAAGCTTCCCAGGGGTATTTGCTCTGGATGTGAGTTGCCTTGTTTTCCAGTAGAGTTTTGGGGGCAGCAATGTCCACCCATCTCTTGCAGAAGGTGAGGTATATGTAGGGAGTGCTATTAGTGACCTAGAAAGGGTGGTAGGGGCCTTCCATTTTGTTTCTCTCTCTGTCTTCTTTCCTTCTGCCACTTACTAGTTGTGGGTACATAGATGACTTTCTTAATCTCACTGTGCCTTAGTTTCCCCATCTATAAAATGAGGGCAACATATTAACTCATAGCGCCATTTGTCAGGAGCAAATGAGCTAGATCTATTAGAAGGCCTTATCACAGCATTCAATAATATTTTCTGTTACCATAATTATCACCTCAGACAATACATTTCTCTTCCTACCCCCCCATTTTCCTATATATTTTTGGCGTACTTCATTCCACCCATCTTATTTTCAACTAAATTTCAGACTGCATGAATGCAGACATGTTTCTTAAGAGATCTTTGTGGTTTCAGAGCCCAGCTGTATCCTTGTAACGTGCCGGAGTGAAGGAAAGATTGAGACTGACAGCAGCCTTCTCGGCAGCCTGCACCGGAGGAGGTAACTAGCTACAGACAAGCCAGTTACACTGTGGTGGAGAGTCAAGTAGGTCCGATTCCCAGCCTACTCCCACCAGTCATTAGTTGGGTTCCCCAGGAAAAGGATTTTTACTTCACTGAGACCCTTTAAAGGATCTTTAAAGGGAGGCTAATAAACATTCACAGGATGACTTCAGTATTATATATTACATATGAAAAGCACCTAGTAAAGCCCACAGATGGTAGCTCTCAGTATGACCATTACTGCTACTACCATAATTATGTATTCCTCCCCCGAAGTGTATTTGAACATGGCAGTCAGGATCCTGGTGTGTAAGGACCTTGTTCCCAGGGCAGAGATGGAAATGAACACTCGAGATGTAATTTCCTCTCTGTGTTCTGCTGCAGCGATAATGCTAATAATGGAGTAGTACAGATTTTGCATTGCAAAATAATGTAACAATAAATGGTAGAGAAAAAAAAAAAAGTGCCAATACACAGTGACTTCATTAACACAGTTTCCAGCCAAATATATATATTTTAAGTATTGAGACAGATACTGAGTAAGAAGGCGCATACTTAGAACGTTTTTTGTGAAAATGTAAACAGGATGTTTAAGAGAGAAGCGGCCTGTTGGAAAAGATGGGTCCCCGAAGAACCGCCAGTTACCTGCGTCGGAGGCACTAACTCCAGCTCTGACGCTGACTCAGCGTTCAGGGCGCTCTTCCCAGTGCTCAGTTCTGGCTGAGATCGGTGCTCTGAGGACCTGGGAGGGACGAAGGAAGGAAACTGAAGTACATCGAGAAACAAATTTAGCTGGAAACCCAGTCAAGAAACCTAGATGATTTGGATCATTGAGAGCCACGTTACCAACACTCTCACCAGAAGTTTGATGGAAAGATAACTTTTATATGTTTTTATTTTAATGCCCATCTTTGGAATTTAAGAGGCTATGATGTGCTAGGTATTATTATCTTTGATTTAGAATCCAGTTTAATTATGGGCAAAAGTAAATACATGCAATGCCATTTTGTTACAGAAAGTTCTGTTCTTTATTAAAAAAGTAATTTTGGCGGAGGTAGGAGAGATTCTCACAAAGCGTCTCAGGTGTGATTTAATCTTTATATAGAACATAAAATGTCATAATAAGTAGAGATGTGAGAGGGACAATAGGAGACTAAAACATATTGCCCTTTAGGAAGCTTTAAAAATAGGTAAAATTCAGGTAGCCAATTTTTCTCATGGCCTCCATGGATTGATTACTCTTTTTTTTTTTTTTATCCTTAAGTGAGGACATTTTTCAATTTTTTGTTCAGATAGAGTGGGAGGGAGAGAGAGGAAGAGAGAGAGAGAAACATCGATGTGAAAGGGACACATCGAGTGGCTGCCACCCACACGACCCAAGCAGGGCGGGGACAAACAGCAACAGAGGTACGTGCCCTTAGCAGGAACTGAACCCGGGTCTCTCTGGACCGCAGGCAGAAGCTCTAACCACTGAGAAAAACCGGCCAGGGCTGGATTGATTACTCTTAAACAGTGCATTATCTGACAGTAATGATTAAGAAAGTCAGAAAAGGCCCTGCATAACCAGAAACAATAAACTGTCATTTATGTAATATGTTGAATATATATATAAGTAAACACATGTATGCACCTATTTTGATCAGCTCAATTACATATTCATAAAATTATCAACAAATATGGAATATTGAATTATGAATCTACCAGAATCTTTACTGGCTGATTTTACTTTTTTACAATTTAGATGAAATCATTTAGTTTTAGAAGGCATAATAATTAACATTGATTTATAAGGGATTATACATGGCACCAAGTATTTGCATTGACTTAACTCATTGGCTACTTCAGTCCATAAGAGGAAAAACCCAGGCAGTTGACATATAAATGGCTATTTTCTGATACTAAAATATCTTACCACAAGAGTTCTTTTGATCCAGTTCTGGATGAGCATGATTTTCTCTCTGCCATTGGGTGACCCTTGCTACTGCGATCTCCATGAAACTTGACATCATCCCATTTTTCCAGCTGTGTTTGAATGTCTAGTAAGGAGACAGGAAGGGGGGAGGGAGATGGGGAGAACAGGAGGGGCAGAGAGAAGGAGAGAGACTGATTAAGATTGAGAAGTGCTACACAAGTGCGCTTCTCCCAACCGATGTTTTCAAACCCCAAGGCCAATTTTCTTTAAGGTCACATAAAAAGTAAAGCACGTGTAGCTGAATAAAAATGAGACCTATTAAGGAAATTGCCTTTCCTGTTAAACAATCAGGTTGTGTTCTCTGAATTTGTTTCGAGAGCTGTGAGCATTCTGAATCTTGTGCACCAGCCCTGCAACCCCATGGGAATGAGCGTGCGGAGGACTGTCCTGTCAGCCCCAGGCTCAGACGGTGGCTTGGAGGCCCTTCTGGCACACTTCGACAAGGAAGTGCTGTTTAAAGAGCCTCCCTGTTAAAAGAGGTGAGAAGACACTGAAACATCTTTCACAGCCCTTGTACAGACTGCTTAGTTTCTCGGCGAAGGAGGGAATTAATAATGGGGATGGAGAGAAAGAGGCAATGGAGAAAGCCAGGAGAACATTTTCTCCTTGTGGCTCCATTCTTACAGAGGAAGAACCTGGATGGGTTCTCGCTCGTGAACAAGTGTGTGACTATAAATAAGCCACTTAAATAATCTTGGGTCCGTTTTTCTCCTTTATGAAAATATAGGTGTACAGTCGGTGTCCTCCAAAGTTCTTTAAACTAAATGTTTTTATGACTACTTACACAGGACATTTTCTCAAAAGCAGAAACATTTGTGTTTCATTTACATGCATATTGTGTTATATTGTAATATGTTTAATAATACGTCCTTATACAAATGTACACATTTCAGTGAATAAAGTGGGAGCACATTAATGGTGAGGGAGTATTGAAGATAGTTATAAAGTTTTCCTCCAAAGAGACAGGCCTCAGACAGGGACACCCGTGGGGAGGGGTCCTGGGTATGCCACTGGCTGAAACACCTTGGCTCACTTCCCTTTCTCTGTGATCTATCTTTGGGCCATGTCATCTACACCCACGAAGGCGATATCCATTCACAGGCTTCGGACGTTCAAATCTCCATTTCCTGCTCAGCGCTCTCCCAAGTTCTAGATGTATACGTTCAATAGTCTATTGGACAGCTGCACAGAGAAGTCCCTCCCACAGTTTCCTCAAGCACAGGGGCGGGCAAACGTAGGTTTACAGCTGTGAGTACATAAAACTGAGTTTATTCTTGTTTTATTATCAATGAATTATTGTATTATTTGCCACACGAATGACTGTAAACCTACATTTCCCCCACCCTATATAACAGGTTCAAATCCAAACTCAATAGTTTCCACCTTGACTTCCCCCCTCCCTCCATCCCTCCATCTCCTCATCAGAGTCCGGCACATTCTGTATGTCTTCCTTGCGGGCACACACCCATCTACTCAGTCCGTAAGTCCTATTTTAATTTTTTCTAAATGTCCTCTAACTATGCCCTCTGTCGCCACCTTAGATGTCTGGATTAGTCTCCCTACTCTCACTCCTTTCTCTACACGTCCCCCATAGAAGAGTTTTCTAAAGTAGACTCTGCTGATGTGACTCTTATGTGTAAAACCCTTCAGCCCCGCCTTTCCCCAGCCTCAAGGGCGTGGCATCCGAGAACGCCCGACGTCCTGACCCCTAGTGACTCTCAGGCTTGCTCCTCACTACTCGAATGCTTTCGAAAGACTTGTATTTGCTTGAAAAGACACTTTTGTGTGTTTGTCTACATGTGCGTGAATCCCCTTCATTTCTGCATCTGGAAAATTTCCACGTATCCCCCAGACTCTGCTCACATTGTGCCTCCTACAGGACACCTTCTACAACCCCTGGCTGGGTCAGGGCTCTTCCAAGGTGCCCTTAGGAAGTACCCTGGGTTTCCCTTTATTGCTCCATGTACTGTAGTCCCCCCTTATCTGCAGGGGATACTTTCCAAGGCCCTCAGTGGGTGCTTGAAACTGTGGGTGGTACTGAACCCTATATGTAGTATGTTTTTTCCTAATCATTCACACCTAAGATAAAGTTTAATTTAAAAAGTAGGCAATTTTACTGGTAGAAGATTCATTCTTACCATAGATCTTAGCAACCACAGCATATGATTTTTTTTTTCCCTCATTAAATCAAGAACTTTCACCTTTTCATTTTCAGGAAGAACTTTACAGATTCTTCTTGGCATATCCAATTGTCAGCATCATTACTCGTGTGCTTTGGGGCCATTATTAAGCACAAGCAGGGTGACTTGAACACAAGCCGTCAGTCTGATGACTGAGACAGCTGCTACATACGGAGGGGTGGGCGGGAAGCATCCACGGTGTGGTTCACATCCTCAGCGGGATGGGTCCAGAGAGCTCGAGACTTCATCATGCTACTCAGAATGGCACGCCATTTAAAACTTACAAATTGTTTATTTCTGGAATTTTCCATTTAACATTTTTGGACTGTGATTGACTGCAGGTAACTGAAACTTCAGAAAGTGAAACTGTGAGGAAGGGGGACCACTGTAGTGCATATTTAATTATAATCAATCATTTTTCTATCTCCCTACTAGAGTGTAAACTCACTAAGCAAGAATGTAAACTTAACTAAGGCAGAGAGCTTATATGATTCATCTTTGTATTCCTAGCCCACAGTATGAATACAGTAGGTATTCAGAGAAATGTTTACTGAATAAATGGATAAATCCATTCATGACCTTCTAACATGTACACATCACAGTGCCAAGCAATTTCATATTATATCCCCTTTAATCTTCACAACAAATATGCTAATTTTATGACTATTTACCCACACACATATGTGTACACACACACACCAGTCAGTCACGGCTGGAGAAATAGCTGTTTCCTTCAGCTTTCCCAAATACCTGCCACCTTTGTTTCTTCTGACAAAGGAGAGCTCAGTTTGAGTGGTTCCACACGCAGGAGTTAAGTTTTCCTTCTCAGGAAAATGTATAGTGGATGAAAGTGTGGGCTTTGAAGTTCATTTTTTTTTTAGTTCAAGGCAGCTGTTATTATATCAATGTATCTCCACGTATATTACATGTTACCATTCTGTCTGGTTGTTCCTGGACCTCGTGTTAGAGTTCTCTCTCTCTCTGGACCAGCTCTTCTCTCCCCGTCTAGACTGAATGCTCCTAGAGAGCAATATTCATGTTTGATTTGTACTTATAACTCCGGTGCCTAGTACGGTACCTGCTATCTATCAAGAAAATGCATGTGGGTTGAATAAATGAATGAATGAATCCACATGGGTTATGCAAAGTTGAGCTCCCAACTGTCATTTAATCAAAGCACAAAAGAAATCTGTCCTGCCCAGTTTTCTACATGGAATTAATCTTTCCTACTCCTTTGCCCATGGTTTCAATGTCATTGGTGGAACTTCCCTGTCGTATCAAGGCAAGGGTGAGCAGCCGACACTGCCTCACCTAAATCCAAGGATGACGTCTCCGGGCCTCGAAGAGGCTGCTGGCCTCTCTGCTCAGCATCTGCACCGATGAGATCAGATCCATCCGCCTTCTTCTTGAGCGATGAGGTTTTTGATGGGGCCTCCAACTTCTTGGCTTTGGTTTGGGTTTGTGAGACGGGTTCACTCAGGTCAAGGAGATCTAAGCCTGTGGTCAATACTATCAGAGAAGAAAGAGGTTAAGATAAGCCCACTTAGTGCTCTGAAATTATTTTTTAAAAATAGGCTTCAGTTGGGTGCAGAAGGAATTTGTGTTTGTAGTGTAGGTTAGAAGCACCGAGTTCAGTTAGCTCACCATCGATTTATAGAGACAGCTTGTATTTAGATGGGGAGGTTTGCGGCTTGTTCTCGCCCCCCCATGATACAAATCTACAAAGTGGGACTTATATCAGCCTCACCAGTGATGAAGGTTTGAATGAAATTAAAATGCTAAAATTGAATCTGCACTCAGGTACCCTTTACTTGGCTTTGCTTGATTTATAGAGAGGTTTATTTTAGAGTGCAGTTTTTCCAGAGAAGACTCAATCTACCATTTTCAGAGATATGCTAGCGAAACAGTTATAAGATGATTTAATAAAGTTTCTGAATGTCTTTGTATTTTAATTTCGAACTGCTAAAACAAACACAGCATAAAATAATGTTGTTAAATATCTTTTATTTAATTAAGCATTTCAATCAGAAAATGGCTTGCTGTTTGGGCTCAACGAGAGAGGTGTTTTATAATTCATAGTTGACGAATAGGCACCCATGTTAACACCTTTGCTGCTTAATATGTAAATTTCAATTTTAATGTAACGAATCATAAAACAGACTTTCAGTTCCTAGCAAGTTGATTACATGATCTTAAATACCGTAATGTAGGCAGCAATAATAATTTGTTCAAATGCAAACTAGGCAAGTGAGAATTAAAAAGGCAAGTTTGGAAACTCTTCGTTCTTCTTGCTCTTACAGTGCAAGTCACAGTGTTCGACTGCCTCATTGTGAGACATGGAGATTTCCAACTACAGACGCTCCGGTGAGCCCTAGCTCTCCACCAGCCTTGGCAGCTGCGAGGCTTAGAGAAGCCACCAAAGTGACAATAAAGCTCCTTCTGGCACCCTCTATAAGGACTGCACCACTCCTCTTTGATCTCCCAGCTTTTCCTCTTGGTAGAGAATGGATTAACAATTTTTTTTCCTTTATTGATTTTATTTTATTTATTTATTTTTTATTTTATTTTATTTTTATTCTCACCCGAGGACATTTTTCCATTTTTTTGTACAGATAGAGTGGGAGGGAGAGAGAGAGAGAGAGAGAAACATCGACGTGAAAGAGACACATCAAGTGGCTGCCACCCGCACAACCAACCAGGGCTGGGGACAAACTGCAACCGAGGTACATGCCCTTAGTGGGAACCGAACCCGGGTCTCTCCAGACCGCAGGCCGATGCTCTAACCGCTGAGCCAAACCGGCCAGGGCATATTGATTTTAAAGAGAGAGGAAGGGAGAGGGAGAGAGAGATAGAACCATCGATGAGAGACAACATCAACTGGCCGCCTCCTGCATGCCCCCCACTGGGGATTGGGCCCACAACCTCAGCATGTGCCCTGACCAGGAATCAAACTGGTGACCTCTTGATGCATGGGTCGATGCTCAACCACTGAGCCACACCGGCCGGACAGTAGGGAATGGATTTCTGTTAACTCTCCTCCATCTGCTTTTCCCCGTGCACTCAAGGCAGGTCAGGGATCAGATGAGCTTGCAACCAGGATTTCTTGAGTACTGCACTGTCCTCACGAGCTGAGCATCCCTATGGGATCCTGAAGACAGCATAACGAGCTTTACTCTCCAGGGTCTTGTCTTCTGATTTCAGTTACAAATCACAGTGGCTGCATGTTGGTGGTGAAATGGCTGTACCACTGCTTAGCTGTGTGACTTGGAGTACGTTTCTTAACCCCTCTGAGTTTTAGTTTCCTCACCTGAAAAATGTGAGATGAATAATTGGCTTTTGGATATGATACAGAGATTTAAGTTTCTAATGTGTAAGTCGAAACTGTAAAATACCAGGCATCCAATAGGTACTCAATACATGTTATTTCCGTTCTTTGGTGGCCAATTTGTGAGGCTTTTCTTTCCTTTTCCTCTGTTGCTCCCCTACTTTCCCGAGTCTTTCTATTTCAGGCAAGAATCAGCTCCACACACTGACAGAAAGAGGAAAAACCACTGGGAATAAAATGGAGGGTGAGACGAAGATATTGGTTCTACAGGAGATGCTAGGAAGTAAACTTAGCATAACGTGGCCTGGAAGTGTCAGCTCAGCTCATCTGAGTGTTCCTGAGGAGGCGGAGCACCTTCGAATGCTGAGAGGCTCTGAGACCCGAGAGTTCCACGGCTAACAAGTCCTTGCGTGGGAGAAGAAGAGGTTCTCAGAGCTGAGCCGCCTGGCTTGATGTCCACGCTGTAAGCCTGGCATGCAGCCAAGACAGGCTCGGAGGCCCCAGTTCCACATCCTCTGAATGTTCAACCAAACATTTCCAGGGCACTGTTATCGGCCGGGATCCTAGGCCCACCGTGATTTCCTTATAATAGAAGGAAAGAAGTGGAAAATGGTCTCTGGAATGCCACATATGTCTTCTTTCTAATTGTAAAAACTACTAGGAACTAGTCACCTGCTCCCACACTTCTTTTAGATGCAAATTATATAGGACTCATCTACTTATGTATAGGAAGTGCATTTGTTACAAATAGTAACAGGTGAGTGTTAATTTAATGCTATTATCTGCTTCTCGCCATTCAGAATAAATGAATTACCAAAAAAAATTATTTTAAAAATAGTGAATTGGGAATTGAAACTTGGCTCAGTAACATTCTTTCCCCTGACCAAACTGTCAGCACTTCCTGTGTTTGTTCTGAGCTCTCTGTTCCTTTGTTCTTTTCCCAGCAAATGGGAAACAAAAGCTTGGCACACACAAAAGGCCTTATTTGTTACCCAGCTGATGGGGGGAGTGGCCTGAAGCTTGTATAGAAAGCTTTGAAGCTGAGAGAATCTCCGGGGACCACAGTTTCAAAAGCATAGAAGGATGAGTGCAGCTTTTTACTTATTTTGGAGGAACAAATCCCATTTTAGCCTGTGCGTGTGTGCATGCGTGTGAGTGTGTGTGTGCGTGTGTGTGTGTGCACTTCAAAGGTAGAATACCTTGGCACAGAAGCGGGTGTCTGCTCTGCTGATTTTCTTAACCCAATTTAAAAGATTCTCTTAGGCATATGAAGGTTTGGGTTCCAAAATCCATGTGTTTAAATTAAGACAACCACCTCTTAGAGTGGATGTGAAAATGTATGTATACCAGTGTGGAGTGTGTGTGTATGAGAGATGGGGGGGGGCTGACGATGCTATGCTGTTGGCTTTGGAGATGGAGGAAGGGACCACGAGTAAAAGCATTCTAGGTACCCTGTAGAGGCCTGGAAAAGGCGAGGGAATGAATTTTCCTTTAGAGACTCCAGGAGGAATGCAGCTCTCCCAACATCTTGATTTTAGGCCTGCTGGCTTCCAGAATTATATAATACATTTGTGTTGTTTTAAACTACCAAATGGGTGGTGATTTGTTACAGCAGCAATAGGAAACTCATGCACTTGGCAGGACACTGAACATAAGAGGATTCAAGCACAGGCCCTGTCACTCCAAAGTCTGTGTTCTTCACCATTCTTCTCTAGACTTTATCTGAACCTGGAGACAATGTGCTAATTTGACTGATGTGGCTTTGATTATTATTTTTTGTTTAGCTCCCAATTATTTGGCAGGTTGGGTAGTCCGAGGCATAATTTAAATAGTAGGTAATTTCAGAAACTATTTTTTTTAATAACCTAATTTCATTGGGTGGAATTTCCTGAAGATAGAATACATAAGTATTTGTTTCTATCTAATTCAAGGACACCTAATTGAGGATCACATGCCATTAAACTGGAGAACTTCCTCAGGCACTGAAGATGTTTACGAATACTAGATTACTTAGGCCTTGGGAGGTGAGGCTGCTTAAAACAGTTAGAATAAAATAGCACCTATAATGAAGCCTTGATTTGATACTTTGACGGTAAACACAATGCTATTAACTCCACTACAGTCTAATGAGCTTCAGATTTTAGTGAATTTCCTAAAGGAATAGCTCTACGTGGAGTGGCCAGAGAGGACCAACCATGGGACAACCCTGACAGGTGCAGTTGCGAAGGTGCCACAGGAGCTGATAGGGTCTCTGTTCTGTTCTGTAAGATTTGTTTAACACACCGGCTGCAAAGCAAAGTCCATTCAGGAAGGATTTTGCCAGTGATGTAAAATAGAGAAATTAGACCTAAATAATTCAACCAACTTTTACTTTTTTATTGGAATATGTAATTAACACTAGATTAACACATTTCTAGATTCTCTCTAGAGGCATGCCATTCAGTTCATCGCTACTTGGGCTTCATAAATATGTATTGTGCAAATAGTACACTAATTTTGCAGGGAAGACATTTAATGAGGTGGCTGTTTTGGAATCGTGAACTTTGTTAAGAGTACCTCTTCCCTTATATATAGGGATCTCTTATACAGGGACTGCATACAGGTTCCACAGTAAGGAGTGAGATCATTATTTTTTAAACGATGAAGTATCTTTCTTATATAGTAACTGTCCACCTAATGGCTCAAGTTTACGGATACAATTATTTTAGATTATGTAGATTGATAAATGCAAACTAAGGAACCTTATTTTTCCTATACTCAGACATATATTAAATTTTGGGGGAGAACACAGACTTCAAGTTATTATTGTAAATTTTATAGTAATTATTTGTCCTATAATATCATCATAATCTTAACATATTTATTGTCTAGTTACTTTCAGAGCATTTGATATATGCATCTGTGTATAGTATACACTTATTTGTCAGTTTAAATAAGGATATTAGCACTGATCCAGGCCTACCTACCACCTATGGATACAGTTTGAGAAGGACAAGGAATTAGCTATCTATCTAGGTTACAGATGAATTAAAGATAATTCAGGATGTTAAATAACAAAAAAAGAGAAAAACTCTTTATTTGATCAGCTTGAAGTTATCATCATTGGATGATAAGAAGGTCATTCCAGTGTAGAAGAACAAGCAGGAAGTAAAAAAGATAATTGAAATAAAAAAAAATATTAGAACTCCTTTGAGGCAAAAGATTGATATGTTCTTTTAGGGTTAGTAAAGAAAAAAAATCTCTCATCATTTAACTAATCTTTGTTCTGTTTTTTTATCCTCACTCGAGGACATTTTTACATTTATCTTCAGATAGAGCAGGAGGGAGAGAGAGAAACATCAATGTGAGAGAGACACATCAACTGGTTGTCACCCACATGACCCCAACCAGGGCCGGGGACAAGCTGCAACGGAGGTACGTGCCCGTGCAGTGGTTCTCAACCTTCCTAATGCCGTGACCCTTTAATACAGTTCCTCATGTTGTGGTGACCCCCCAACCATAAAATTATTTTTGTTGCTACTTTATAACTATAATTTTGCTACGGTTATGTCTTAGGTGACCCCTGTGAAAGGATCGTTCGACCCCCAAAGGGGTCGTGACCCACAGGTTGAGAACCCCTGCTAGAGGGAACCGAACCCAGGACTCTCTGGTCCGCGGGCCAATGCTCTAACCGCTAAGCAAAATTTGCCAGGGAATAATCTTTGGAAGAGATAAATATTTCCTATGTTGTTTATTTTGTGTTGATTTACATAAGACCTATATTCCTTAAACATTTACGGAAATGCCAAGATGGTAGCATGCTGATTTTAATTTTTCATTGGAAGAAAATGCCCAGTATAAATGCCTCTCATATATAAGGTTCTTCCAATTTCAGCTTGATTGACTTGGTCCAAACTTGAAACAGAATTTCTTCTATATTTTACCCCAGATTATTTAATATCCACTTTAAGTGTAATACCTGAATGTCATAGACAATATTCAATGACTGTCTTGCTTTTTCAATGTAATTTCATACTATTCTATAAAATGATAGTGCTCCATTTAAAAATTACTATTTTTATTAAAAATTTGGACAGAAAATAATAGTAATATCTCCTGCCTAAAAAATCTAACTATAAAATTATTGGAACAAATTACAATTCTTTCCAAGGTGTTTGAATGCTAAAACTTTTCCTGTTTAAAGATGTATAATAATGTGAATTATGTTGTATATTGAGAGATAAATTGTAGGTTTGTTAATAATTTTAAAAAGAACTATATTCATTAGGGGTTAAAAACATAGTGTTTCTGCCCTGAGCTATACTTTTAAAACTAAAAACACTATCAAACAAAAGTCATTCTTCAAGATAAAAATCTGTATGACCCAGATGTACTGAATGCTGAGGCTGAGAAAAGAAAAATCCAGTCTCAAAATATCACTTTTCCTGATCTCCTACTTCAAAGGGTGTTATGGATTGAATTGTGTCTCTCCTAAAAACGCCATCTGTTGAAGTCTGAACCCCCAGTACCTCAGAACATGACTTCATTTGGAAGTAGGGTCATTGGAGAATGTAATTAGTTAAGATCAGTCATGTTGGAGCAGGGGCTGACCTGCTGGTATCCTTATAAAAAGGGGAAATTTGGACACAGAGAGACACACACATAGGAAGAATGTCATGTGAAGATTGGAGTTATACTGTCACAAGCCAAGAACTATCAGAAACGAGGAGAGAGGCCTAGAACAGATCCTTCCCAAGCATCTTCAGAGGGAGAATGGCCAACTGACCTTGATTGTGTACTTCTAGGTTCCAGGATTGTAAGAATAAGTTCCCGTTGTTTGCTCTATGCGGCGTGTGATGTTTTGTCCTGGCAGTCCCGGGAAACTAGTACAGACACAATACTGTAGGCACTGTTGCAAGAAATGACACATTCTTTTGATGTTTTCCTTCAATATTGCACAGGTCTCTCATGTGTTAGAAAAACCAAGGTGAAAGTAGCGTTGGAGTCAAAGTATCATGTTGCTCTTTCTTGTGGGCTCTTCCTAAGTGACTTAGTTTTAGCATCAGTTAGAGCTGGAAAGTGCAGAGAGTACTGGAACCCAGATCTGAGAATTCTGCGCTTGAGTTTTTCTGAGAACAGCGGGAACTTCTTAGTGCATGCAATTCTCATGGATTTTCCTCCAACTAGAAACTGCATTCTTCTGGGGGGGTAGCTGTCCAGTTCTGGAGAGGTTAGCTCTAGCTTCATAGATAAGGAGAATGAATTTGATCTGATAGCATGTGAACTTTAATTTCCTGATTAAAATGTAACAAGAACAATTTTATTTGCTTGATTACTCAAAGTGATAGCCGAGTTTAGAAAATGATTGCTTTGGTGTGATATACAGAAAGTTAATGCATTTGAAAAGGGAAGTTTTTTGGCCCTGGCCAGTTTGGCTCAGCAGTTAGAGTGTTGGCCTGCGGTCCAGAGAGACCTGGGTTCGGTTCCCACTAAGGGCCCGTACCTCGGTTGCAGTTTGTCCCCGGCCCTGATTGGGTTGTGTGGGTGGCGACCACTCGATGTGTCCCTTTCACGTCGATGTTTCTCTCTCTCCCTCTCCCTCCCACTCTATCTGAACAAAATATCAAAAAGTGTCCTCGGGTGAGGATAAGAAAAAAAAAAGGAAAAGGGAAGTTTTGGGTCTTTCAACTGATAGCTAACAGGAATGATAGTACCTGTAAGAGCTCACATCGTATTAAGTACTTACATAGATTGCTTCCTTTAATCTTCCCCATTAACCGATGAGTTCTAGATCTTACTATTATTAGATAGATGAGGAAACAGAGTTAAGCAACTTGCCCAAGAACACAGAGCTGAAGTTTGAAATGATGAACTTTTACCCTAGAGACTACAGACTACACTCCCACATAAAGTGCTTCTATTTTGTGTTAGTTATTCTTGTTGTTGTTTTAGCATTTAAAAAAAAATCTCAATTTCCTTTAACTATGATTTTCTTCACTTACTTAAAAGTATAAAGAAAATATGCCAGGCAACAGCAAGCTGAGGACATGATGGAGAGATGGAAGGAATTTAAGAAGATAGTATGTGGTTATCATCTCCTTCGTAAAATTCTCTCCTGCAAGCCAATATAACCCTTGTTCTGATTCTGAACGTCATTTCTTCATTCCTATTTGAGCAACATGCCTTTGAACGTGGATGTTGACGGAGTGAAATCACTGCAGAAAGGCTGCCTGTGATCCAAGGCGAACATCAGCTTTGGAGTGAAATCTGTGCTGCTCCCTCAGGCTGGGCCCTACCTAAGGGACTTAGCTTCAGTATCAGTGAGAATTAGAAGGTGCAGAGGGTACTTGAGAAAGTGTCACTTATACCTGTGGCATCCTACATTCCTCAATGAGTACGTACTTATTAGTGCCTATTAGATGATCATTTACTGTTTGAGTATGTTTAATTTCAGTCAAATACATTATTGTGAGAGGGAGCAACATATTTACGTGATATAAAAATGAAATTGGCTCTATAATATCCCAAGTCTTCAGGAATTTTAATTGTCATTTCAATCTACTTGCAGGGGCTACCTTTTTAAAAAAATATATTTCCTTTTTTTTTCTTTATTTTATTTTTTTAAATTAATTTATTTCTGTTACAGATGTTTCTCCTTTTCCCCCCACAGACACCGTATTCCTTTCTACCTTTCCGGGTCTGTTTTGTTCATCAGCTTTTTTTGTTCATTATAATCCACGTATAAGTGAGACCATGTGGCATTTGTCTTTCTCTGATTGGCTTATTTTGCTTAGCATAGTATTCTCCAGGTTCCTCCATGAACCTGTGTTTTTATTTTACTCCACTTTTGTCATACAGAGTATTTCCAGCCTGAACTTGAAAAACCCTTACTCTGAAATAAATGCTTTTGTTTTAAAGATTTCCTAATATAATGTGACTTGAGATGAGATTATGTAAACATGAAAATATGCACAGAAGAATGATTCACTGCTAATAGCGGCACGCTGATGTTCAGCACAGTTGGCTGCATAATACATATCACAGTTTCTTACACTATAATAAAAAGTGATTTATTGGTTTATAGTGAATAGTATATGTCTCAAAGTTTAAGTTGGTTACAAACATTATTCTCTACTTAAAACGCACGTGGAAAGAAAACATGCATTTTACTACAGTGAAAATTCACTCTGCTTGAGGATCAGTTAAAAGTGAAAGAATTACCAGCTGTGTTGGATGTTACCGGTCTTGCTATTGCCTCCGATTTGGTTTCACAGAGAAAGTCATCGATGGAGGGGCTCAGGAGGGGTCTGCTTTCCTGCTGTTCATTCACCAGCTGAGAACAAATGAACACAGGTGTCAAAGGCCACGTTAAACTGCAGAATCAGACTAGTTAAAATGCAGCCTTGCAACAGAATGAGAATAGCAAGCCTACCAAAAAAATAAATAAACCAATAAATAATGGGGTAAGGGCAAGGAAAAAAAAAATACCAAAGGATGGGGAATGAGCCTTTTAGCACTGTCAACATTTCTGATGCAGCCAACCGCAGTTTTGAAAGCTCAAGCCTTTTTCCCTTCTCCTAGAACCGTTTTAGAAGTACTCTCTAATTTCAATATGTAGAAAACGATACCTGTTGAATCACTGTTCCTAATCCCACTCTTCACTTGGACAATAAGCTCCTACTAAGACCTGGAGCGGTGGCTTCAGACTATGCGGTGGGACTGGCCACTCAGTGTTTTGTGGTAACAGCACACGCGCAGATCTGTGTGTGGGGATAACACTCCTTTCTCCGCCCTTGAAAAGCTCAAGACACCTGCTGGCACACGCCCTTGCTTACATTTCCTCGGAGTGCTTTCTGCCTTTGTAGTGCATAACAAACATTGTTTGGAAAGAGTACAAAATATTGTTACATTAACTGTTATATTAACTCCATGTCCATGGGTATGTTTCAGGTCTCGGTCAGTGGCGGACACCTATTTACTATCAGGTATTCTATGTTTCTTGAATACAGACTTCCTTACGTTCTGATTCTGTGGTTAAGGGGCAAAAATAGAATTATGATACACAAGTGGTTAATCCTTAAATTGACTCTGTTAGTTTTCCACAAGATTTTATATCGACCTTTCTTAAAATGGACATAGCCATCTAGCTTTCTACACATTACACAAAAAATAGATATGCCTAAAATCTCTAGATTTTTAAAATACTTATTTGCAAGGCTGTATTTTAAGAGACATATAAAAAAATAACAAATGAAGTGTTTGGGAGTATTACCAAGTCAAAATATTTTATGTGACTCTACTCACTTTGCACTTCATTATTTCTTTAGCTCAGTGTCAGAGGTATTATAGCTTAGAACTTATGGAAGATGGGAAGAGACCTATAAATATGGTAAATATGGGAAGAAAAAATGTAGTGCTATTATTACTGAAGAAGGAATATGGAAACATCTAGTGATCATTTGGGGACTGAAAACCAAGAGGCACATTTGGTACTTTTTCATGTTCATCCTACGACCTAAACAGGGATAGATCCAGATCTTCACTGGAATATAAGATTTTGACACAGAGCTTGTGAGTTGACTTTCATACATAGTAACATGTGGACATTATCAAGGGTAAGCCTTGTGAATGCCTATTTTCTTTTAGCATTCAAGTTACAGTGATAGATATTTCTTAAATTATTATAAATTTAATGTTCCTATGTATAAAGACTCACAGATTTTTCCAGGAATCAAATTATTGAAAGTCTGTTTTTGTTTTAACCTTTTTTTGGGGGGATGCTCCTTTAACCAATGAGTGAAACTCTGAGGACCTTTAAATTTTGGTTTGAACAATCCAAAGATTGTTCAATTTGAACAATCTTGGGTATCACGCATCTTATTTATGTTGAAATATTTTTTAATGTTGAAGGACTATGAGCCTTTTATATTTCTGAGAGAAAATATGTTTGAATTTTTATAAATTATGTGGTCTATTTGAGTTTAGGAGTGATTTATAAATATTTTCTGGCATAAAAGTCAATTTTATTATCTTGAAGTGTAGTTGAGAGCACTGATATAGAATATAATACACTCGAAAATGAAGAAGTGGTTAAACATCTGGGACCCCTTCTGAGTTCACAAAACTCCCCATATACTTCTTCTGAAAACGTAATTTGTTTTCTAAAACTTCTATTTCATTTATAGTTTGATCATGTAAAAACTTTGTGTATGCAAGAGTTTTCAAAGAATCTGTACATTAATATATATTTCTTGGTAGAACTTGGCCTTTTAACTATATGTGTTTAGAGTAATGAACCCATGTAGTGTGATATCACCAGAGTGATGTGATGGACCTGACTTAGCAACATGCTTATCTCCAGGCTGTGCCATCTTCATGTCAAATGAGATCTGGGTTCGGCTGTGCTATAAACATTCAGGGAAGGTGAAGGTCACCACCAAATACAGCACCACAGTACACTCACAGACGTTAGTGTACCAGACTTGCATTTACTAAGCAGTGCATTCCGATTACTTGGTCTCTTGTTTTAGGTCTCAGATCTATCGGCTAAAGTGCATAAGGTGCAAAGAGTAAATATAACCAATACAGCTGCAGATATATGCAATGTCATAACTATCTCTTTGCTAGCCATTATTTCTCTGAATACGTCTGATGATATTCATAGATAGAACTAAGACTAATTTAGTTATTTTCTTAGTCATGATTTTAAAATCAATTATATATAAAGGTAAGTATAAATTATAGTCCACAAATGTCCCCATATGCCTTTTCTTTACTTTGGATACAATTACATTCCTTTGTGGAACAGGCATACATTACCTATAGTTTTAGAAGGCCAGGGTGTTAGATTTCTGCACATACTTTCAGATGTAAACACTGAAAAATGATAGTCTAAATTTTATAAAAGAATCCTAGAAAGAGAGACTTTTGTCCACATAAACATCTGAATGGAAAAACAAAGGAAAAATCACAATTAATTGAGAGGCCTGTCTTTTAGGCAAGTCTGCCTTATGAAGGTAACAAATTTTTTTGGAGTCTCTGTCATCTTTCATACTTCAGGCTTATTTTCTGGAGAAAGCACGTCTAGCATTGTCAGAGTTTCTCAACCACAGAAGAGGCTGCTCAGAGCGACTCCAGGGAGCCAGGACATGGCATGGCTTCTCCAGTCTCTTCCCAATCCCCTGCCTCACGGTGTCTGCGTCTCTCCCACACCTGCTGCCTCGTTTCTGACCACTGCACACCTGGACTGATGGAGCTGCTATGGCTGCCCCGTTCCCACGAACTGAGCGGCTCCTGTGGCTTTCTTCCATGGATACAAATCAGAGGAAATCAATTACTCTGAGTCAGTGTTTTTCAATCTGAAGCACAGTTCAGCTCTTGGGAAATGCTGGGGTTGGAGTGGGGGGTAGTGACAGGGCTCAGAGTGAAGGAGATGAAGGGCCAGGTTTCAGACAGCATGGGAAAGTAATCTTGGAATGGAAGGTTTTTTGTTGTTTGTTTTGATTGAGATGTGGAAGATGAAACAGGGGATATCATAAAGAAATCTTTTTTTTTTTTTTTTTTTTATAAGCTCTGAGGTCAGAGGCTACAGCTTACTCATATTTATATTCTCCAGAACTTCGAAAAGCATGCCTTCATATAAGAAGGGCTCAATAGATGGTTACCAAATGGGACAGTGACTTTGCAGAAACTGAAGATTTAAAAGATTGATCTTAAACAGTCAATTTTGAACTGTGTCTTCAGTCAGATGAATTTAGGAACCATTATTTTAACCATACTAACCATGATCAATAAAAATGTTTTTATTTGTATAGGTAAGAATAGCTTTTCATATCTCCTCCTCCACATTTTCTAACAAGTTCATGGTTTTCCTATGGTGACTGGAGAATAAATCTTTTAGGCCATAAAGGAAAATTGCGAACTGAACTGAATCCCCCAAATAGTTCCCCTTAGCTTTACTTTCAAATTGTAGGCCATTTCTTCTCTCCTCATTTATTTATTGATAGGATACTGCTTGCCTTTCCCTGAGAATTACTTCCTTCACTTTGAAAATACTTTATGAACTCACTACATTTCATCCTTTGGGTACAGAGTTATAAAAATAATAAAAGGTGAGTCAAACGTTTCCAATTTTTTAAAAATAAGTGAGCTGGAGTGATTGCAATTTTGGTCCAATCTGACCTTCGCAACTGAATCAAAGTGGTCTACCTCACTAGTTGCTAAAGTGTTGGTCTCACTTTGTTTACATTTAAACTTGTTATTTCTTATCCTCTGTGCTCTTCTCAGTGTTTGGATAAGTTCACAGGCCTTTCCAGTGGTGGTAGATCCCTATTTCTCTTCCAGGACCCCCTGCACAGCGGGGCCTTCCGCACTGGGCAGCGGGCGCCTCCTCACATGTCCACGTCGCCACCTCTACCCCCTCCCCCGTTTTCCCCCCACTAGACTACCAGCTCTCTGAGAGCAGAGACCTTATTCACTTACTTTTTATATCTCACAGTAGCAGTTTAACAAGTGTTGACTGATTTTATACTAACTGAATGGTGAATCGTACAAAAGACCGATTGCCTCAATTTCATACTGAGTTTGATGAACTTACAGAGAGGCCAATGGTCCTCGGAAATGTTTACCAATTTCCTGACAAACCTAAGTCAATCCCCCCACCCCCAACCACACCCCCAGTGTCACATCATTTAAATGTTTGGAAACCTAGACAAACCTAAAGGAACATTCCCAAATGCAAGGCTTCTATCAAAGAGTCAAGAATGCGAAGTGTGAATGCCTAATGAGAACCACTGAAATAAAGGCAGCGGCCTGCTCCACGTCACCCTGGGAAGAAGGTCACAGACCAATGCAAACAGGAGGCCAGGGACAGCTCAGGACACGCTCAGGGATTTTACGTCAGAGATTCAGATTTGGAGATTTTGAGAAAAAACCCTTCCAGGGTCAATGGGCAGAAACAAGGAAGCAGCACCAGTCAGATGACAGGGGATTGCCTGGTGGGCTTCCTGTCACTCAGACTTCAAAACACTAATGAACCTTGCACCTCCCTTGTCATCGAAGGTTGTGAATAAAACATTCAGTCAAATGTCTTCAGTTTACTTATGACTTAGACTGGTTAGTTGATGTGGCTAATATTAGCCACCACAGGACAAAACTGGTTATTGTTTTATATCAACACTGTGTTTTGTGTTGAGCAAAATGCAGACAATATCATCTAACTTCAATGAATTATGATCTGTTTTAAAACTGTCTAAAAATGCAACTTGAATTTCTCTAATTTCAATGTTAAAAATTAAATTATGATATGATCTAGGCTACAGGGGAATACTTAACCAAGACGAAAGGAGAGTATTTTGCTTTTAAACACTGCCTGTTATTTAAGCTCCAGTATATGTTTATATAGCTTGTTTTGTGACTTAAATCTAAGCTTTTTTGTCTTTTACCAATATATTGCTTAGGTGTTTCATTAAAAATATAGAGCTAAAGGTTTGTGATAACTTATATCATTACAAATTAACTTCAAACCAAAATACATTTTATATGATAAAACAAGGTCTGTAAAGGATAATTCATTATTCCATAACTTTACACGTCAGATTGATGATCTTAAACTGTTTAAAGTAAAAAATTCTGTTTTTATTTTTAAACATTTAAGTACTTAAAGAATGATTTTAAAATTTAAAACCCTGAAGCTAATAAGTTAAAAAATAGCTGACAAATATCTCATATTTGTAATGTTGACTTAAAAATATATTTCTAATAATATACCATGTATTTTATCTCATCTAAATAATAGAAAACATTAAAGATTGTTTTATTTCTATATAAATGAAAACACAAATATACTTTTGAAAAGAATATCTTTATGCATTTTGAAAATGCCTCTATTATTTGACACTTGATTCAAAGTGTGTTATTTGTTCATACTTTTATAATTGAACTATTTGTTTATGGCTTTATTTGTCTTATCCAAGTTTAGAAATTTGTACAATGCCCACCAAAATAGTGACCATATCAAAACTAAATCAATTGACTAAATCCATTGAAAAGACAAGACAACTAAATCATTATCATGAGTCCCTTAAGTATTCAGACTTCGGTAGCTTTGTCTGGGTAACTCTGATACTGGACAGAATTAATCCCTTATGAGCTAATAGTACTAATGGTTCTGCTCCTCACCCCAGTTTTTATGCTGTATATGGGTCGCAGTGGATCTTCTTGTAAAGGATAACCATGTGATAACTTTCAACTCTTTGATTTGATCTAAATCTTAACTGACTACAAATATTTTCCTGACAGGATAGTTAGATTTATAAACGTAAATTTATTCATGGTAAAGTGAACAGATATTACTGTTTACAACTTGTGGAGTACTAACACTAGGGCAGGCAGAATAATGTAATTCAAGCAATTGTTTCAAGTTCGTAATAGATGGCTATATTTAGTAGCCTTCAGAATGTTTTTCCAATCAAGGACATTACTCTTTTCATCTTTATCAGACAAAAAAAATTAAATCAATATTGAGGTATAAGGGGTGGGAACAGATGAAAAAACAAAGGCTGAGTTTGCAAAAGCAAATTTCCTTAACAATAAGAGGTCGAGAGCACATCGTTTTAAGTTACTGTGTTCTATAGCAAAAAATGAAGGGGCCATACCTTGCTAAAAATAGTACCAGGAGATGTGGTTAAAATAAAAATTTCCTAAGGTTCCTTCTGAGAGAAAAATATTTGCTCAAATCATTTAATTTTTATAAATTATTATGAAAATTATTATTATGATGAAAATTATTATAAATTATAACAATTTATTATTATATATTTTTTACAATATAATCCATCTTTGGCACAGTTTCCTTTTTATCCTCAAATTGGATTTATTTATACTATGACAGTCTAGAGTAGTGCTGTTCAATACAAATATAATGAGAGCCTGTTTATTTTAAACTTTCTAGTAGCCACTTTAAAAAAAAAAGTAAAAAGAAACAGGTAAAAATAATTTTAGCAATACATTTTATTTAGCTCAATATAGCCAAAATATTATCATTTGAATATGTAATCAATATAAAAACTATTAATGTGCCAGATTATATTATTTTTCTTTGGACGAAATCTTCAAAGTCTGGTGTGTATTTTATTAAGTGTATTTTATCAAGTGTATTTTTTCTTCTCTTCAGTTCTTTCATCAATACACACTTGTTACATACTGCTTGACTTAAATTGTTAGTATAGGACAGTATGAACTTGGGCTTCTTTGAAGTGCGTAACATATTGTTTGTTAATATAGAATTAATAACTAAATTAGTCAAAGGAGCAATTCTCAGGGGTCCAGCAATCTCTGAGTTCAGGTCACCTGGCCAACTCTTCTGTTTTGTTCAATTTGTTCAGTGTACCATCCATGACTTCCCGGGAGTATGTTTGGCTAAATCCCTCTCAAAGTGATGGTAATGATCACACAAATACAAAAAATGCTTTAATGTAAATTATTCTGCACTTACAGTCTGTTGAATAAAGTTACTAAACAAGTTAGGAGCTCAGTGTTTCAAGAATTTATTCTGTACTTTATCCACTGGGATTGTCCCAAGGACATTAATGAGACAGCAGCCATTAGCTTCAGACTTATCAAAATCTATGAGTGAGCAGCTGGCCTCGACATATCAGCAATGAAGATGAGTCGATGTATTCAGCAGCATGTGGCACTATGCCATAAGGGGCTTTACAGGAGTCACTGGGACACACATGTTTCAAGACACTAATACGTTCACACAGGATCACGTGTAAGAATGTGGCATGGTACACGGAGTGGATGCTGTGGTTGTCATGAGAAGTACTCACTTTTTCAGATCATTCTGCTGCTTTTGGGCTTGTGCACGCCACTGGTGCATAGCAGGGAAGAAGCCACTTGTGTACAGTGGAAAAAGTATGTCAACTGATAAAACTGCATTTGACTGAGAAATCATTGTATTACAGCTGTCACTGAATTAATTCCATAAAATTATCAACACGACAGGTGCATTGCATTATATGAATCAGAAAACTGTTTGCTGATTCATAAACTAGCCAGTGTGCAACGAGAATATGATGCATCAAAGAAAGCATTATATAATCTTCATGCAGTAAAATTGTAACTAATACCTCAAAAACAGTAAATGCAACATTAGACAGGGATTAAATAAGGAACTTGGTACACACAAATGTTCTGAATATGAAAAAATGGTAATAATCACACTTTTTTCTCTAAATTAAGAAATCAAACATTATTTTGCATTAAATTTTAAATTCAAGCTTAGGTGATAATGATAATTTTGGACATTTGAAAAGGATTACTGAAAAGCACACACCAATGCATGGTTTTGGGGGGAAAAGAATATTGGGGGCTAGCGCCTGCCCTACAGTGTGATGCCCTGAAGCGATACATTGAGGATCTACGCCAATTGCAAACCTGGGTGGGTCTTATCCACGATGTATGTGGTTCTGTCCTTAGCCGAGAACTTACAGTGGTTCTCATTTCCCTTAGCACTGACCTGAGAAACTATGGACTGAATATTTTGAACATGCATTCTACAAAGGGCATGAGATAATGTAAAACTATATGTTTTATTGTGCAAATTGTGTAAAGAATGGAGACCCTGGTAAATATCAAGCAAATTTCTTCCCAACTACTACTGTGCCATTGAGAAGAAGCATCTCTTCTTCATGGATAAAAATCTCACAACATAGAACTTAACCCAAAGTGCTGGGAATCGTCAATAACTTTAAAAAATATTCAATTTTGATTTTGATGTTATATGTTGTTATAATTTTCATTACTTACAACATAGTGTTTAGAATAAAGTAAAACCACACATGTTGGCAGCAGCTGGGGATGTGATCTGATGATATTCTGAAAATAAGTTGCCATAATTTAGCTTTTGATATAAATGCTTTTCATGAAGACTGTAAATGGACATTTTTCTAATTCTAGATATGTTCATATAATTGGAACTGATTCACTGTATTTACTACTGCATTATGGAAAAAAGAAATGTTTAAGATAATAATCTAATCTAAATTATAAGATAAATGCAAGTAAAAATATTTTCATTTAAGAATTTAAAACTGATATTTCCACAGAGTGGTGATGAGTACATTATACATATTTATGTGGATTTTACAGGGTGTTTCAAAAGCCCCTGAGGACATACAGGATTCAGTCTCAGCATGTCTTTGCATATAAATGCAAAGTTTTTCTATATTTGTTATAATAAATGCTGAAAATGGCCCTCATGTGCTTATAATAGAGATATTTTTGTTTTCAAGGTCACTAAGTATAAAAGGGGTCACAGATGCCATTTTCTGCAGGGGTCTCAGGGACTTCTCTCATTCCTGTAAATTAGTCATCCACATAAATATGTATAGACATATATGTAGTATGCATAGTCACAACATAAATATATTTAACACTTAGAAAATTTAGATATTCTACTGGTAAACTGACATATGTATACAATATAAATTGTATTTATTCATAGGAATTTGATTTTTTTGGTTATTTTTCAAATGTATCATTAGCTTGTTATTTCTTTCTCAAAGTTGTTAACAAGACTCCTTTATAAAGAAGCAACATGTTTTACTTGCACGTACATTTTTTTAAACTAAAGTTGAGTAATGAAAATTAATATCCACAAATAACTAAATGATAAATTTTTTTTTTTTAGCAATTTTGGTTTTCATTTTATAATGTATAATTGTTTCATTGAAACTGTGCTTTTAAAAAAATTAGTTCAAGTTAATGTTTCTTTTTTTTGCTAGTTAAGAGTCACAGTGTCTGATATATTAACATATGTCAGCTTCCTACAGGAGCCCTATGGGTCTGCCCACCTGTGATGTCATAGTAAGGAGGGGCTTTTCTTCAGCAGACTCCTCCCTCGGTATCTCCTTCATCACCATGGCAACAGCCTTATCTGCAGCCCTAGAGCCTTTTCCCTATAACAGTGAAATCAACAATGACTTGTGTCAGGAGAAATCTTTAACTTATTATTTATTACAAGATATTTTAATGTTTAAAGAGCGATCCAACATAAATGAAGAGGCAGGCTGCTGCGAGTGAATCTTGAGGCTTTTGGCTGGAGAGAAAACACACAGTATCTGAAAAAGATTGTGAACTTTTAGCTACTTCTTCACCTTTACAGCTGGCATTATATTTAATTTTAACATAGTATTTTATATGTATAATATATTTTAAGGCAATTTACATGATATGAACATAATTTTTATAGTATCGATTTTAAAACATTATGGATTGCCTGCTATGTTCATTTATAAGTTATTCCTATATAATTCCTAAAAGTTTGGAATGACAGGAGTCCAGGACGGAGATTGGGATCAGGGTCCGACTCCCACGGAGGGTTTGGAGGGTGGTCTCTAGAGCCTGCCATTTATGAGTGGGTTGGGCATGAAGAAAGTAAGGTGTCATAAAAACCTCTCAAAAGTCTTCAGTGGCCTAATACTACAGGAATTCACCCAACTTATTATGTGGAACTATTAAAAAAATTGTAATTCTCAATGTGTTTGAGACCAAAAAATTTTAATAGAATTTTAGAATGTTTTTTCATTGGAGAATCCCATAAACTGAGATAAAAGAAAAATGATTACTAACTGAGGCACTGATAGATATAGATATAAATGTACAGGTATAGATACCTCCCTACATTGTTTTGTGTCATACAAGCAGAGTCATAGACTATAAGGTGTGGCTTTCTGTCTTTTTGGTTTACTAGATTACAATATTTTTGAGAACAGATATGGCATAATGCAAAAAATAAAATATTACTTTCTCAACCCAATTAGAAGCATCTCATACTACATAAATATTAAATAATCTTTAAATACTTGAAAAACTTCCATTTTCTCAGGTCTCTGGGCAGAGCTTTCCTGGAGAAAATAATTTTACACTAAGAGAACACATGAATATCTGCGTTGTAAATCTACTTAAAATACAAATGTAGCATTTAGAAATATCATAGGCAAAGAAACAAAAATGGACATATGTGGTCTGTTGAATGAAAGGAAATTAAGAGCTAGGGTTAATATTAACTCCAGAGGTTAATAAATATTGATACTTTCTATGCAAAGCAAAAGGATAGAATTACATTATTATCATGGTCGTGCACAGGGCTTTAAAAATTTAGAAGGTGGGTTTATTCTAGGAAGCAAAACATTGTCGGTTTCCTCAGGCATTCTTTTCTAAAATGTAACAAGTGGCAGCTTTTATTTATGAAAACAAAGAAAAACTTCCTCTATAGTGACTAGATTTTAAAATGGGCAAATCTCTTTATAATGCTCAAAGTTTCTTTCTTTTTTTTAAATTTAAGAACTAGCATTATTGAGTGGTAATGTGTTATTTCCATGATGAAATATTGACTACAAGAAATTTTATTCATCAGATATGACAGTAATTACTATTATATATGTTCTGAAATATCTATAGGGCCCCAATCCTTAGAATAACTGACTTCTGGAAGGATAAAGGGAAACAATGACTCACCACATAAAATACTGGGGAGCATAATGATCCCAGGTTTATTCTTTAATGATGTAATGTGAAATTCCTAACACAGAGATGCATACAACTCTGAATTCTGGGAAAAGATTTATTATGGCACTATTAAATATTTTTTTTAAATATAAAAATATTTGGATGAAACATTACATACTATAGCTTAGTATACCTTTATAAACTACACTCATTTACAGATTAAACATAGTTTAACAAATATTTTCACCCCTTATTTTTTTCAAAAGAGCAAAGTCATTTGTGAAGAATTCTTTCCATGCTCCAAGAAGTTCTAATAAGATAGCAATAAACGAAGTGGCATGCTTATATTTAAATTCCTAATATACTTAAAAGAACAGATCTAATGTTACAAGGTATAATATTTAAAAAAATAATAATTCAGACTCTTATCTTGAGCTAAGAAAAAAAGGTCAATTGATGAGCATCTCAAAAAATGTCAGGTCAATATTTCAATACACTATTTATTTGAAATGCTACCAATCCATAAACTATATATAGATATTTTTCACATGTGCAACTATTATAGTAGCTAGAATTAGCAACGGACATGCCATTTCACTAAAACAAACAAACAAAAACAAAAAACAAAACAAAAATAAGTCCTTTCATGCTGAACTCTAGAACAAAGCAGTGGTCAGCTAGAAAGGATGTATAATTAACACATGCGGTGCTTTTTATTTCTTGCAGAAAAACCCACCAAAGCCAGGGTCAGGTCACTTTTTTGAAGACAGTGCCACTTTTTCTTCAAGGTTACACCTACTACCTGAAAAGAGTCATGACACCCATGTTAGTGCCCGCTAGCAAAGTTTTCCTTCATAGCCTGTTGGCTTTTGAATGATTACCCCAAGAATGATTATCCCTGTTTTATGAACATGGTGCAGTTGGAGAACAGAACAGGAAGGTCTGCGGCATTGACTTCGCCATGGCTCCAGGTACAGTGTCTAAAACCACCGTCAAAGCTGGTGAAGACACTCATGCATCAAAGCAAGATTTCCCCAGATCACACTGCCACCTCCACTTGGTATCTCAAAATCAAGCTGTGTTATTTCCGACTTGTCCATTTATCTTGTGGGATAACATTGCTAAAATTCAGAACCTGGCTGATAATTGAGTTGGCAATTCATAAAACTACACAACTTTGCTTATCAGCAGCTTTGCAGAGCTGACAGCAACACACCTGTACAGGGTTTTATCCTTTTTTGAAGTCAATGGCTTAACACACTGCAAGAATTATATGCGCATAATTATCCGGACTTCAACCTCAGTTTCTAAATACAACCACACTGAGGGATAAATATTAATCTATTATTTGAAGTAACATGAAGACAGCAAAAATGAAATATTCACTGAACATATACTCGAGCTTGTAAGTGGATTTAGATTACATTAAGCCTGTATGCGTTTCCATCATTCTCAGCAAAAACAGGAAAGAAGAGTGGGACCTTGCAAGTTGATTATCACATCCCGACACCCTCTGGCAATAATTTCAGCCTACTTTTTAAATAATGCTTCGAAACCACCCTTCCCCACTTCCTTGTTGAGTTTCTCAAGATAATTTTGACTAATTTTCTTGGTGATCTGCTGTAGAAAAGTCTTTGATATTTCTCTTTCTCACTTTGTTTCCTCAGCAATGAAGTATACAAAGTGACGGCTTTTCTAAAAAATAATAATGCTTGAGAATAATCTTATTAACTTCTATTGTCAGATCTGGCATACATGAAACACGGAGAGTATAGCAAGTGACATTAAAATGATTAAGAAGACCCAATTTTGGCTCACTTCCCTTTTTAAAATATAGACTATAAGAAACAGAGTAAAAAGTACTGGAAGTCACAGGATCGTCTCAGGCTGGACACCAGGCTGTGAAGCCACCAGGTGTCTTCAGATGAGGAGGTGTTGGCTCCAGGCCTGTCTCACAAAGAAGGGAACTAAAGCATTTGGAGAAGGTACTATGTGCTGGGCACTGCTAGGTGTGTTTACTTATTTGATTGCATGAGACCTCTGTGGAGTATAAATTATCCTTCCCAGGAAGTTTGGGACATTGAGGCTCAGCGAAAGAGTGATTTGGCCAAAGCCTCAAAGCTGGAATGTGGCTGAGCCCGGAAGGGAACCCAGCCCCAGCCCGGGAGCCTTCTCGTCTACCACACTGTGATCTTCATCCGGCTCTGAGAGGCCGGAGGCTCTCCCATGCAGCCCTCACTGGCTGCCATACATGCAGGTTGTTTATGAACCATCCAAGTTTTGGGCAGCAACCACTTTTCAGTATAATGATCCAGTCTGGATCAAGCAAATATTTTTGAGAAATATTTTATTCAATCTGCAATGATCAATAAGAATCAGCCACACATAACTTCACTTATAGGCACAACTCCCAAAAAACATTTCTGTTTCTTCTTTCTTCACGAAAAACTAACCTAAGCATGTCATGCATCACATTTCTTTTTATTCTGTAAATCTTATTGGGTTTATAAGCTTTAGCATCCCTCTAATTCTGATTAAAATGCTAACTCAGTGCTGCTACATGTCATCTTTACTAGTATTTTTTTGAGATCTATTTTGGGTGCATGCAATACTTAATGTATGCAATTTGGTGGTCACACAGTCCATTCATAAGCAATTTTCTAGATTCTATTACTACTATATAAAGTTTTGTAATTTAAAAATTATCTTTATTATTCTTACTCTATAAATAATAATGCAGTCTTTTTATCAGAGATATTAAATAGAAGCTATGGAGATATACTAAATTAGGGAAAAGTAAAAGACTTAATAGTAGTCATCTCCGGTAACCCCCAATTATTTAATATATAAATTTAAAAGTCTTCTTTTTATTCTGATTACAAAAATTAATACATGCTGTTACCAAACACTGAGAAAAAGACAGAAATAAGAAAAGAAACATATCAAGCCTGATGTTTTCATTCATTTTCCCCCAAATTTTATCTTTACAACATTGAAGATTAAAGTTTTTTAGAATGAATGTTTTAAGGAAGACAAACTCCTATCAAGCTCACAAGTGTGAACATATCAAATATATTTCTTCACATATACATACCTGGAAACAAATGCCTGCCACCTATCACATTTTGGCCACTTTGTTAGAAATGGAATGGAATTCGGTTTTGCATATCCTAAAAAATTTTGTATCTCATAAATTCTGGGCCCTGAACTTAAATGCACCTGTAGGAAATTGGCTACAGAAAGTCCAATTTCTGATGGCTTTTCTCTCTCTGTCTCTCATGTGCAGAGGCAGGATGACATTCTTTTACTCAGGAAGGTAAAAGTCATGGTGTCATGCTCTCTGGTAAAACATGAGAGCCATGTTTCTGGCATCTTCTGAACGTGGTGACCCGTCTGCCCTGCCCGTTCCGGTTCAGCATGCCCCTCTGGACTCCTTCCAGCACAGAGCAGGGTTCAGACCACGCTGGTCTAGCACAGTTTCCTGTAGCTCGTTTCCACCCCCAGAGAATGTTTGCAAATCTGCAAAGTGGTACAAATAGAACTAAGTCGGGGCACACTGGTCAATCCTGATTTCCAAACATCCCCAAGGAGGCACGGATCTAGAGGCAAACAGTTGCGAAGCATGGACAGAAGTGTCTCAACTAGAGATTCTTACGTGGAGTTCATAAATCACAGTAAGTTCACCCTCGGTTCAGTGATCTGCTGTTAGCTGGAAATAATGTGATTTCTGACTCCTTAATATAGGTAGTCAAGTTGCAGTGAACAAAGTGGTGCCTCTCTGTCTAAAACAAAGACACAGGGCATTCAGCAGGAGGACTGCCAACTGACCCTCCGCATGTCTCCCCCTCGCTGCCCCGCCTCCAGCACTGTTTCCTCGCGCACCCTTCCCTCAGCCCCCGCCTTTCCGAGGAGGCTTTCTGAGATGAATGAGTGACGCAAATCACATTCTACTGCACAACTCCTGTGCCTCAGCTTGTGTTATGTATTAACTGGCATTTTTGTTACACTCATCTGGACTGTGCAGGTGGTGGTGGGAGAGTCATGGAGAACAGGCTCTGTGGCCTTTGACTGGAATCCTCCCCCAGTGGAAGTCACTAGGATCCCAAGCCCCCTATGGACATGCTTACTTTCCTTAACCTGAATGATGGGTGCTGGGGGACATTATGGCTTTCATGGGTCCCTTCTTCCACAAAATAATGCTAAAGATGATATTTTATCACTAAATTGGTATAAAGACAAATATAATCCACACTGCGTGTATTGTTACATATTCATTATTACACCAGTAATTTGGGGGGGGGGGTTCTGATTTTAAGAGAGATTAAAACAAACATTTTTATGGGCCCTTAAAAGTATCATGGGCCCTGTGAACAGTGTCCACTGTGCCCAGTGCATAAGTTGACTCTGGGTGAGTGTCTTCCCAACAGTCAGTGTGCCTCCCATGGTGCTCTGCTCTCCCAGAGCTGACCTCACCTCTACACGGCTTACTTTGGCAGCAGCTGCTCCGCCTCCCCTCGCCCCACAGTTCCACGGTGGCTGCTCCTGCCCTAATGGACCCCTTTGCCACTGCTGTTACTCTCACTAGTTTTGTTAGGATCCAGGTGTCTTCTAACAATACTGCACCCCGCCGCCTTGCACAGTTTCACTTTTCATGATTTCAGTAACCTGCAGTCAACTGCAGTCTAAAAACATTCAAAGAAGAGTTCCAGAGACAAGGAATTCATAAGTTTTAAATTGCGTGCCATTCTGAGTAGCACGATGAAATCTCCTGCTGTCCTGATCCCCGCTGCCTGGGACGTGAATCATCCCTCTGTCCAGCACACCCGTGCTGTGTACTCTACCTGCCCACTGGTCACTTAGTAGTGTCTCAGTTATCAGACTGATTGTCATGGAGCTTGTGTTCAAGTCACCCTTATCTGACTTCAGAACTGCCCCCAAAGTGCAAGAGGAGTGATGCTGGCGATTTGGATATGCCAAAGAGAAGTCGTCAAGTGCTCCCTTTAAGTGAAGAAGTATGTATGTATGTGTATTTAGGGTTTGATACTATTCAAATTTCAGGTATCCATTGCTGGTCTTGGAACGTATCCCCTGCGGATAAGGGGGGATTCATGAACTCATAAATCTTATTGGATGCCCAATTAGTCGCTTCTATCTTAAGACATCCTCAGAAAACTTGGAACGTTTAGGCCTGAGAGAGTAAACACTGGTGTGTAAAACTGATGTGACTCAAAATGTAACCTCTCCACCAGGCGACAGGTCTAAGCACTTCATTCTCTCTTGCCTCAGGGCATGTTCCTGACTGCCCACGGAGCACTTTGGAGGACGTGCTCAATGATCAAAGGCACCAGTTCACTCCAAAGCACTCCTTGCCATTTTTCCCCCCAATTATGCGGTGGGTCATTTGAGGAATAGAACCGCTCAGTACCCCAAATTCCTGAGTTGTGTATGCAGACTGAGCTCCTCCCAGGGACCTTATTATAGTCCTTTATTTTTGTAAACTGTTCTTTCACCATGTCTCATCAATGAAGTTGCCTCATGTGAGCGAAGATTGTGCTTATTTCTTTCGAACTATTTTCTATTATTTGGTATAGTACTCTGTGGGCACAGACACTCGGATTTCCTTGTGTGTGTCCAGTACAAGAATTGGACAGCTTTCCCACATTCTTTAAAATACTGAAATCACATAATATGGCCAACTTCGATGGAAGGTGATTCTGAATTCGACGAAATACTTAATTAGATTTTAAATGAAGTTTCCAGTATCTAAATAAAAATTTATTAAAATTAATAAAGTGTTGCCAA